ATATACAAAGTGTTTTAGCTACAACAATTGTAAAAATGTCTCGCAGGAGGACGCAGACTAAAGACGAGCTTGTCTGAGATGTAAAGTCACTTTCCCTGAAAAGTAACGGTCTTCATATTATTAGATACCTACACATCGACAACAGTCTAAAACTATGTCTTTTGAAATTAACATCTGGTATTCTTATTAGAAGATATTCCTTAACATTTAAAACTTGCATGTAGGTGCTAATTAAATGGTTTAATCATACTGGTGTTAACATACACATAAATAGGTGTTTTGATGGTTATTTTTCCTATTATTTTGTACTAAAAATAGTCAGCCATTTGGTAACTTACGATCTTAATAAGCACATAGAACGTTAAAATATGGTGTCCAACAAAATTGACAGTTCCTTGGCTGCTGGGATAAGAAAGGATGATGTTACAATGCTTTACTTAGATACTTTTATACATGTTTTAATGTACATACGATGTCTCATAAGCCTGTAAAGGCTAGATGCAATAATGTTGATAATTGTTTAAACTGTATATGTTATTTGCACGTGACATCTTAATGAAATATTTTCTCTCTCTCTCTCTCTCTGTAAAATGTGATTGTCTCAGGCAATTTATAAAATGTGTAAATATTTAAGTAATTTTGACTGAAAAATCTGTCCATTTCTTTAACAGATTGATTAAAATTGATTAAGACGATCAAAAGGGCCTAAAAACACCACAATAGATTATTATGTAGGATTCTACCATGAAACTGACGAATGCTTGATTCTGATAGGTTAAAAAGGTTTCCTTTTTGCTTAATATATTAAGCCTTTTCACAAAAAAACGTGCGTATGAATACAATTGGTTGATTGCATGGTTTGTTGTTAACGCCGCACTCAGCAATATTCCAGCTATATAACGGCGGTCTGTAAATAATCGAGTCTGGACCAGACAATCCAGTGATTAATATCATGAGCATCGATCCACGCAATTGGGATCGACGACATGCATCAACCAAGTCAGCGAGCCTGACCACCCGATCCCGTTAGTCGCCTTTTACGACAAGCATAGTCGCCTTTTACGGCAAGCATGGGTTGCTGAAGACCTATTCCACCCCGAATCTTCACGGGTCGTATGAATACAAAGATAGCCTACATATCGAGAAAATGGCTGCCGATCGATCACCCCATATGAACTGTAAAACGTATCTATATTTCCTCTAATACACGCTGGGCTCTCGCGAATTTAACAGACGGCATAGCGTCAAATTAGAGGAAATACGGTAGTTCGATATCGGATGTTTTCAGCGTTGTCTAGGCCGCAACCCTGACTGCTTCGATGATGTCATTAAAAGATTTAACGAAGGCATATCTTTTGCATACAGATGAAATGTTTAAGAAACTGTTAGGGAAATGTTCTATGGTGACCAGAATCGGAACAATTTAAGCAATTTCCACATTGAAACAACCGACAATGAAAGTAAAATATAACATTATAAAAATTGTTTGATAAAAATTTATTAATCACAACCTGTTGTTTACAAACCTTTTTGTGATCGATATTCGTCGCTATCTCCGCCAACCACCATCGTAAGGATTTGGCAGAAGAGGATTTGAAATTCCATCACTCAGAAAACACTTGTCCATTCGAAAATCCACGAAAACAATGTCCCTACATCATTGAAGTCAAACTTGATGAAATTCAATTCAGAACACGCACAATTAAGAAAATCATACACGACCCACTATGTCTGGGCCACGAATGTCTCATTCCATTCACATTAATTAATGTTGAACCACATCATAGATCGGTGTTGTCATCTTGCTTACGGAGCAACGGAGAATGTAAACACTAGATTGTCAGCCATTGACAGCTGCGAGGTGTGAGTAACCATGATGTAGGTCAAGTTCTGCCACATCCAAGTTCGGGGTGGAGGCATTTATTTTGATGTTATTAATGTTTACTGGGGGTAATTGCTAACGTACTAATAACACTTACACATGTTAAATGTACAATAGAATGTTAATTCAAAAAGTTTGTTGTAGAAATAGATACGTTTAGCATTTTAAAACCTTTTTCTACAATCTGTCACTCCTACAATAGAAAGGATGGCATGTTCGATTTCCAAGAAATGACCTCTCTCGCAACTTCCAAGAATGAGTGTGTACAGTGTACAACAAGTTGGTAGAAATTAAAATAAGTTTGGAGTGTTATTTGTCAACTTCTTTTGAAAAACTATGTGTTTTGAACACTTATTTTGAACTACTCATGACTATGGTGTTGTTAATCTTGAACTTTAGTGATAATTGTTGCATATATAACTATACCTGTGACCACTTTTCGGAATGTTCTAAGATTGTGGACCTATGTGCCTGTGTTGTTATGTACGAAAGCCTATTAGGGCCAAATTCTTTGATCGTACTAATAGGCTTTCGTAGTTACGCGTTGCAAGAGAGCGCCGTTTTCTAAGCGTTGTTGCGTCATGGTAGAATGGAGATAAACCTACTGTGTTTTGAAATTTGATGTAGTCCCACTGTAGAATAGATACCTCTTTATTTTAATTTTGAACCGAGCGCTAAAATAAAAAGGTATCTATATAGTGGGACTACGTCAAATTTCAAAACACGGTAGGTATCTCCTAATTAGAAGACAAACAATATAGAAATGTACTTTTCATCATAACATTTTCAGTCTCTTGGTGATGATATTAAACATAAAATGTTTGGAATTCGTTGTCATAATAATACAGATGGACATATTTTTCACTCAGTTTGTAAAATAACTGATTATTTAGGCGTTCCCAAGTGAAAATTTGGCACATTTTGACCGTAAAAATGTAATCAAGATAAAATATGCAATGCTCAGGAGAAATATTTACTTTGTGATGCGAGTAAATGTAGTGTAAACGAAAATCGCACAATTACCATGCAAGTGACTTATCTAAACATCGTCACCATTACCGATGCTACCCACAAAGATACCTACATTCCCTTATCATTTCCTGTAGGGGCGGTCGGGTAGCCTAGTGGTTAAAGCGTTCGCTCGTCACGCCAAAGACCCGGGTTCGATTCCTGACATGGTGTCCCCCGACGTGATATTGCTGGAATATTGCTAAAAGAGACGTAAAACCATACTCACTCACTCCAAAACTGTATTTCATTTTGTTGATCAGTGTGACCATACGCCCTTACACTATCAATAAACGTGACAAATGCGCTTACGAATTGCGCAGCACAGGTCGCGAACTAGTCTAGATTTCTGTTATATCATCCTGGTACTCACGGGAAAAAACAATAACAAAGGCAACAACCAGTCCCGGGGTCAAATATACTGAACCAAATTAAAAACTTCACAATCCTACAATTTTAACATTTTGACCAGTTATCATTGTGGGCCCTTATTATGTATTTAAACAGTAATGGCCACGTATTGTCTTCAGATAACATCCGTTTTTGTGCAGGTGAATCGATCAAAATCATGTGCACAGCACTATAGTGGCAAAAGTGTTTTTTCACGTGCAACTGGTCACGTGGCCATAATACCGCGCGTGTTTTCAGCCATACTTGTTAGCAGTCATTAACAAAAAAAGAAAAACACAAGAAAACAAAAGTCTTTACGGCTATTTGTCATGCCACGCCTTTCAAATGTGCAACGTGAACGTGCCATTGGCATGTTGCAGACGGGAACGTCCGAAGCTGAAGTCGCAAGGACGATGGGTTGTAGTCGACTGTTTATGATTTACAGACGCGTCTACAGCAAACGGGTACCACCGCTGATCGCCCTCGGCCAGGTCGACCACGTGTGACGTCACATGCAGAGGATCGTCAGATTGTCTTACGTCACCTCCGTAACCGATTTTTGACGGCTACATCAACCAGAAATGAACTGTTTAGGGGTAGAGTGAGTGCGCAAACTGTTCGAAACCGTCTGAGAACTGCTCACCTTCAAGCACGACGGCCATACTGCGGGCCGATTCTGACTCAATTACACAGACGTCAACGTCAATTGTGGGCACAGCGACACTGACGATGGACTCAGAGGAATTGGAATCAAGTCGTCTTCAGTGATGAATCCCGATTTAATCATCGATTTGCTGATGGTAGGGCGAGGGTGTGAAGGCGCCTTCATGAACGTTACGCCCAGTGTTGTGTACAGCTAGGAGGTTGACAGATTTCGAGGCGGAATTAAGTGTCATGTCGTGGGGTGCTTTCTGTGGCAATGCACGTTCCAGGCTTCTTGTCATCCGTGGCAACCTCAACGCTGCTGCTTACCGCGACCAGGTACTGGCACCAGAACTTCTGCCTTTTATGGCAGCACATGGACCCATTGACAGCGGGAGTCAATGCATGGACTGGCCGTCAAGGTCTCCCGACCTCAATCCCATCGAACACGTCTGGGGTGCTCTTGGCAGAAGTCTTCGCACTCTCCAGAACCAACCACAGAATTTGCAAGATCTTGGCACCATTTTGCAGCAACAATGGCGTCGTCTTCCAAATCATGTGTTCACAAGCATCAAAAGGTCCATGCGGAGGCGTTGTGTGGAAGTTGTCAACGCACATGGTGGCCATACACGCTACTGAACTTGTGTGCCATCAGATTCTCGTGCTTGGGACTTATGATTTAAACTGTTGATGTTATTACCGAATACCGTAGGTGCTTGGAACAAATTATGGTTACCATCGTTAATTAAAATCCTTCTTTGGACATTAATGATTAAAAATTACCTTCTCTGATACATTTGTCCGTTGTTTATCATATATGGGATTACTTTTAAAAATGAGAAGTTTTTAATTTGAATTAGTATACATTAAATGGCCTGGCGGGCCCGTGTGCGACATACGCTTGCAGTCGGAAAGCGCACGTAAAATCCCCAACCTCAGTCAGTCAAGTCAGTCCCGGGGTATTGCTTTAGATCAGTGCCCCTTTAAAAGCGCTGGTTAAACTTTCGTGTGAACCTCCTCACACAGTTTTAACTAGGGCATTTAAATCATCTATGTTGGGTATAATATTAAAGTTGGATTTTCCCGGTTTTCTGATCCGGCTTTTGTTTTGGTCCCGGTTGGTAAAATGATCATGAATTTGTTGTCACTGGACTCAAGTCGACTTGAGTAAGTTCAGTGCGGCGATAAAGCTTGTAGGGGCGCAATGGGCCAAGCAAATTTGTGAGTATTGTGTTATAATGGATATTTTCATTGATGTGGGTTCATTTATGGTTATTAACCATGGACGTTAAGCTTCCACGTTTTCATCGCCTGTTTGGAGTATCGGTTGTGGCCGTTTTGACATTTTTCTGTGGCCGTTTTGACTTTATATTAGGGGCCTAACCGTTGAGGCCGTGTTGACCTGCTCCTGGTTCGTGTACCATGTTTTCGTGGTATTTAGAGTAAATTTGAAACTAATGTAAGTGAGCAACCAAGATATTCATTAAGTATTTATAGGTCTTCACTTGGATCTAAATTTACTGTATATTTTATAAAACAGCTTGAACCGTGGCAAGAAGTAGGGCTGGGACGGGGTACTCGGGTCCTGAGTAGGACCCTGGTACAACTGGCATGCGTTCAATTGGCCGAGGCGTTGCATGCCACAGATATAATTCTCTACGGTGTTTATCCCAGTTCTGTTCGCTACAGGCGCTTTCTGAGCGTTTACTTAGCTCTCTTCGCGGACGTTCGGATGCAATCGAACGATGTGTTAACTGCCGCCGGCAGAGGGCGCGGTTTTCAAAATGGCGTCAAAGACTGATTTTAGCAATATTTTTTAACATTGTGTATGTGAAGATTTATTGTTTAGAATAAAGATACAATAATCTTACCGTTAGTTAGACGGTCACCGATTAGACAACACAACTTTATTTTATGGCATTATCGTCATATACGTCGGACCGAACTCATGTAATCCTACCGACTTATACATATGAAAATCAAAATATAGACTGTGATTGCGTTGATTCGCCGCTGATTGCATTCAGCCAATTGTCAGTGACACTTGACACCGAGTGAGATTTCTCAGTTCGCTGTACAAGTCACTAATTAGTGGCAGATAGGCTTTTCAAGATATCAGTTCGCTATATCCGTTAGTTCGCTGTACAGAGTTCGTTATGTACGTAAATGTTATATGATAAAATAGAGGAGATAAACAGTTCGTTGTATCCGTTTGAATGCATGTTGTTAGATTCAAATAAATGAATCGGTGACTTGGTGGACAGTGTTTCATTGTACCCCATTCGTGACCACATGCCCCTTTCCGTAACCTGCTTGTCCCGGAAGAACACGAGTTGGTCACGAATGCGCCGACGGCATGGGACGTTGTCCAAATCAACCACTGGTAAAGTTGTCAGGGACAAATTCGATTATTTACAGCCCGCTCTGATATTGCTGGAATATTGTAGACTGCAGTAAAAAGGAACAAATCGCAATTTTTTAGATTTATTTTAGAGACGACAGACACCTATGAAAATATCTTAATTTACGTTTTCTTTGAGTTTCAACAAGTAAAGGTTTATATCGCATAATAATATATGTCAATTGTTTACAAAAAGAAATCATATGAGTGTTATTGGGACAAAACTGCAACTTCATACCAAATTTTATTATACATGTATCTTGTTCTCAAACAGACGCATGAAAATGATTTTTCTGTACTGAAATTAGCATGGGTTGCAAGGAAAAATGCTCTGTGCTGCGAGGGGCTTCAAAATGCAGCTAAAACAATTGGGTTTTCCTGGTTTAAGCAAGTGACAAGTCTTCCAATAAATGTAATCAAGTGGTATCAAACTTCACCACTGAGTGCGTGTATGTCTAACAAGTTGTTCGATGTTGAAAATGTAATGTTCACAGGCCCGCATTTGTCCATCTTTGTCCCTCGGCGTGCCTCCTCCTCAGTATGCGCAGAGGCGCTAGAAAGTGCTCTCAGCGTGCCTTTCGTTCATTAGGAAATATTCGGAGGAGCTCGCTGGTGCCTCAGCACCAAACGGCTTATTGAATGCACCTCAGGACTGCCTCGTACCCGTGGTTAGTCATGTGATATATTGTTTAGTGATAAAAACTCACTGTAGCTCAGTGGTTACACTACATGTAGCTAATGTTCGCATTTCTTTCTGAAGATGCACACATTCCTTTGATGTGCATATGTTTTAGTAAAGAAAAAAACTTCAGTCAACTTCCGTGTGTATGCATGATCTGATCGTTTGATACATGCATCTAAATAGTTTTGGCCAGGGCTTCGGTAAAACGATTCCCAATCAGACATTTTGTTCCCAACTCTTGAGATCTGCTGTCAGTACCTGGGTAGGGTCGGGTAATAGTGGGTCGGATACCCAGGTAGTAAATTTGGACTAGCAAGTAGTGTTAAACTCAATCAAATCCACTGCAGCATTTTCTGAAGTCACAAGTTCTGTGAATGGACCTGCGTGGCCAGTACAGTATAGAAATAATATAACGAGTTCAAGATAAAGCCCAGCTTATGTTTTGTATTATTATGATTTAGCATTATTTAGCTAAATCGGTTTATGGTCAGCTCCGCATAACCAATACTAGTAACTATTCCCATTTATCATTTTCCACCATTTGTTTACAAACATTCTCCTCTCACAAGACCCGCAAAAATACTCCCCATGGCAACATACGTCATTTCTCCCATGACGTCACTACACGTGGTCTCGTGACGTCACTACTTTTACTCCCCAACTGTCAAGTCATTCTAACAACACAACACAACGCGTCCGGCGGTTTGCATTTCACCTCTTACGGTTTCACCTCTAAAGCTTTTTCACCTCACCTCATTACCTCGTTTGGTGTATGTGGGATGCCTCCTAAAAGGAAAGCGGCGCTGACCCACCGACTGGTGAAGGGTCCGAAAGCCAGTAGGACGGGGGTTAGCAGAAATGTGGATGGAATAGACTTGGAGGCGCCAATTGGCTCACGACTGATCAGCGGAGTACCACAAAACACAGCAGGTACGTTGGATAGTGATTTTGTTTGTATTAATTCGAGCAATATTTTGCATAATGCAAACTCGGCTACCACAGTGCTTCCTACAAATACGGCAATGCTTGCAAACAGCACGCTCACAAACGGGGACACGCAGATGCCGACTGGGGATAGGTCTTCAAACAATGAAGGGCACATAAACATTAGTACATTAGCACGCGAAAACGCACATAACACGCATCCGTCCCAACAACAAACACAAACACTCAATCCTTTCGCAACTATGAATTTAAACGATCCAACCATGTTTGGCATACCCGCGACGAATACACCCTGTCTACAGTTAAACGTCAGAGCGGAACACATCGGATCACATGTTTCCCAACAACTACGGGAAAAAATACACAACGGCGAATTCATTGAGCTAAAACAACTAATAGCGGCCCAAAATCAGACACCCCAAGAGATGTCGGCATTTACATTGGCGCTCGACGCCACAGGTCAGATTATTTTTAAACCCAAACAACAACAAACGCGTCCATTAGGCATTGGCGCATGGACATCGGCGTTTAACGTCTACATGAGCGTATACATAGAAAAACACCCGGATAAGATACAGGATCTGCTTACCTACATCGAAACAATCAGGGGAGCTGCTATTAGGTTCGGCGGAGATTCATGGTTGCAATATGACCGTAGTTTCAGACAAAGGATGCAACGCGACCCGTCTCGCTCCTGGTGGGCAATAGATGGCCATTTATGGTTACAACATATGCTTCCAAATCAACAAGCGGCACACGCGCGCGTCACAAACAACACCACTACCACCAACCGCAGCAATCTCAACGCGGGTAGCGAAAATACCGGTAGCATCCCAAAGTTTTGCTGGGATTTTAACAAATTCGGATGTACAAGGTCTTTCTGCCGATATGCACACAAATGCATCACATGTGACAGCACTGCACACGGCGCACACACATGCTTTCGTCAAAAAGGGGGCGTTACAACCCCCCGTACTCAAACAAAACCCAACGCAAACAATACCAACTCAAGGCCTAGCACCAACACCCATTAGTATGCGTGTATTGTCACATTGGCTCAGTATTTACACCCCCTTCTACGCATCAGATGCTATGTTTTTATCGGAAGGTTTTTCTCAAGGTTTTCCACTACAGTACACGGGTCCACCGGGTCCTAGAATGGCTTACAATTTAAAATCCGCCCAACAACATCCAAACATGGTGGCAACAATGCTACAAAAAGAAGTTGATCTAGGTAGAATTGCAGGTCCATTTACAGCACCACCATTTCAAGATATGATAGTTTCTCCAATCGGTCTCGTTCCGAAGAAGTCAAATCACAATAATCAACAAGTTCAGCAAACGTTCAGACTTATTCACCATCTGTCATACCCTGAGGGAGAGTCTGTAAACGACTACATATCTCACGAGGTGTCAACAGTCAAGTACACTAGCTTTGACCAGGTGCTATCCGCGATACAAGGATTAGGCAAGGGTGCATACATGGCAAAATTTGATATTAAGTCTGCATTTCGCCTCATACCTATACGACCAGATGACTTTAAATTTCTGGGAATACAATTCAAACATAATTTCTACTTTGACAAATGTCTTCCATTTGGCTGTTCCATATCATGTGCAACATTTGAAAAATTTAGCACATTTTTGCAGTGGGTACTCAGGAAATACACCAAAAATGATAACATACAACATTATTTGGATGATTTTGCATTGGCAGCACTAGCCTCTAATAAGTGTCAACAAACTCTCGAGTCCTCCCTGGAGTTATTACAAAACATGGGCGTTCCCGTCGCAAAGGACAAAACGGTTATACCTACAACAAACATGACGTTCCTGGGTATCACAATAGACACAGTCAAAGCGCAAATTAGCATACCGATGGATAAGGTAGTGCCGCTTACTCAGGAAATAGATACTCTTTTATCACCTTTTAAGAAGAAAACAACATTACACTACTTGCAGTCCTTGGTGGGGAAACTTAACTTTGTATGTAGGGCAATTCCGATTGGTCGCGCCTTTTAAAGACGCCTCATTGACGCACAGCGCGGAGGGTCAAAACCTCACCACAGAATAAGGATAACACAAGGCATACGCGAGGACCTCAATTTATGGCGGCAATTTCTTCAAAACCACAATGGCACTACTGCATTTATAGATTCAGAGTGGATCAATTCATCGGATACACATTTGTTT